GTGTGTGTGTGTGTGTGTGTGTGTGTGTGCGCGCGCGCGGGCGCGCGCGCAGATATTCAAAGCTACCAAGGTCTCTACCAATAACTCTTTATGCATTTCTGATCAACTTGATTATTTTTATTATGTGCAGTCTTCCAAAATTGCTACCATTGCAAGATATACCAAAATTTATCAGTTTCTATATTGTGGTGGTGTAGAATATCTGAAGGATGGATGGATTCAGATTGAAAGACCTAAGTTTCCTCAGAAAGTATAGCCTCTGATTTACCTTTATTTTTACTATATTGTTTACGTGATTTTGCGATGTAAATTTGTTGTCTGTTGTAAGACCAAGATATTTGTATGAATCAGTAATTTCAATTGTTTCTTGTTCAATTACGAGTGTTGAGATTGTTAGTTTTTCACTTCTAAAATCAAAGACCATTTCCTTTGTTTTTGAGAGGTTCACGTTTAGAAAATTTGAATTGCACCATTTAAAAAACATACATATTTTTTCGAAATACTCTTTTCCATCAAAGTTTATTAATCCAATAATAGCGGAGTCATCTGCAAACTTAATTAAGCGTGTTGTTTTATATATACTTCTATGATCGTTAGTATATATTATTGTACATGTATACAAAACTGGTGACAAAACACACACCTGAGGGCCGACGTAGTTACAAAGGATTGTGTCAGATTTGATGGGCATTCGGTACTGCAAACAGCTTCTGTTGTTGGGAATGAATACGCGCAACTCTAAACATGTTTTATAGGCATTAACGTTAACAGAAAAATAATTCTATGGCGTAGTTAGAGCCGCGTTGCGTGATGTAAAGGGACATGTGTGTTTAGATTTAGACATTTAAACGAATGAATGAGACGTATTTTAAGCAACTTGAGAAGCCCCAAGGCATAGCTCAGGAACTGGGACTAAAAAAAAAAAACGTGTTACATAAGTTTTTCTCAACTTGACAGAGACGTGCATTGTGTACTGTAGTGCAGTAACTTTATCAATAAAAGCGTTCATGGTGCAAAACATTTCAAAAGTTCTTTATGCTGTTTCATAATTGCTTTATTAAAACGTTTTTTTAAACTCCCTTCTCCTTCT